GAAGACTCAGGTACCTACCACCTACTAGTACAGTACCTACATACAACCTACCGCCCGCTGCATGCATGCCCCTTACAGGGAGGGACGGGCGTGCAGACTTGGGAGGCTGCTGATGTGGTGTTTGCTGCGCTGCGATAGGTGTAGATACGGCCTTCGTACCTACACAGACACGCACACCACACTCACAGTCTGTGCCAACACTTTCGCTTTGCCTGGCCACCTACACTGATCCACTCTGGGGCAATCACTTGGGTCCAGGTGGAAGCCGTACATGATGCCGATGGGAGCAAGGGCTGTTAGGTAGAGCGCCAACGGTGTTTACAGGAACAACTTCTTCTTCTTCTTCTTCTTCTTCTTCTTCTTCTTCTTCTTCTTCTTCTTCTCGCGCCCTGCCACTGTCGTCATCTTCGTAACAGGAAGAAAGTCGAGCTGCAAAAGGCTGGCTGGCTGGCGGGCGGGCGGGCTTCAAAACCTTGCCACCGTCTCCGTCGTCGTTTGTTCGATCGTCCATCCAACATTCTCAAACACGCTACAGGTTGGCTGTCTGTGGACAACCTCAGCCTTGCCCCAGCTTTGAGTCCAGACCAGGGATGTAGCCATGTCGATGCTGCGCTCGAGCGCCCCTGCGAACTCGGCCTTCGTTTAGCTTCTTCCACACGCCTTCCATGGGCCTTCCAGAAGAGTGCCTTTTCCGTGTCCCCCCCGCGGCTCATGCAATCTGGGATTGAGGTGTTGTGAGGGTTGGGTGGTCCCACTGCACTTGCGAACTTGACCTGCCTACCCTACCCGTAACTATAACACACACACCCACACACACACACCCACACACACACACACACACACCCACACACACACACACACACACACCCACACACCCACACCCACACACACCCCGTCCCGCCAACAGCAGCTGATGCCTGCTCGGACACACGTTCATCCACTCCCTGGCCCCTCCCAACTGTCTCGCGACACCTCCAAACCCCAAACCCTACTCTCTATACCGGCACTCTCTTCTCCACCTTCTTTTGCTTTGCCTTGCCCTGCTCTCCAGTCGCTCGTTTACCGTACCGGCCCTGTCTTCGCCTTCTCGCATGACGCTTTCCTTCGGCATGTTGACCTTGACCGAAGGCTGCCCATCACGCCATTCTTGCTAGTCCAACTGGGTGCAATACCACGCCGCAGATATGGAGGACCACGTCGATATCCCAGACGAGTCGATGCAACACATTGAGGCTTTGCTGGCAAGGCATCCGCCTCATCTGATCCAACGCATGTTCTCTCAGGCACTCGAATCACGTACGTTGTCGCGCCAGGAGAAAAATACTAAAATTCAATTCAATGTGTCATGCTCACACACCCAGGCCGTAATTCAACTGCTTCCTCTTTCATGTCCACAAGTACCGCCAGTTCCACCGCAACATCGTCTTCTGGCTCATCATGGAGATCTCGTCTTTCCATAGGATCCACATTCTCATCATCAACAGGAAACAGCGATGCGGCGCCTTCGAGTGCTTCGTCCATGTCTTCGCGCTCCCGGACGAGGCGAACAGAGCCTCGTTCGTTCCCAGCTCGACTTGATCCTACCCGGCCGGTACCGGCCCCCTCCTCGGAACTCAGCAGTCCGGTGGAGATGAAAGTGGAGCCAAGCTTTACGCCGACCGACGACATCAGTGTTGCATCACCAATTTTGTTTCCAGACGACAAGTCGCAAAGCCAATCTGGCGAGCCCTACATGTTTTGCACATATTGTGCCGAATCAAAATTGCAAAAGACGTTCAAGGCCAAATCCGACTGGAAGAAGCATGAGATGAGGATGCACGAGACGGGAGAGGACTGGCAATGTGTAGTGCTTGGCTGTAGTCGCATCTTTGACCGCCAAAAGGACTTCATCAAGCATCATCAGCGCTACCACTCGGGACGACCTTTGCCATCTCTGACCGACATTGGTATCACTTTGCTCCCGAGAAGAGTGTTTGGCTGCGGGTTCGACAAGTGCAAGGAGGTTAGCATTGGATGGGATGAACGATGCGACCACGTGGCAAAGCACATGAAGAATGGCGCAACCTATGACCAGTGGAAGTATTCAAATGTCATCAGGAACTTGATCCGACAAGAAGCATTGCATGATACCTGGAAAGAGCTGATTGGCTGCTTGGATGAGAGGTTGCGCGAAAGCCGTTCCCAGATCAGTTGGTGTCCTGATAATTCACGGATTCTACGACAGAAGCTGCAATGCTGCGATTTACGGCCGAGTCGAGAGGAAGTACTCATCACTGCATTGAGCCTACGCTCCGACATTCCCCTGGATCCCGTCCATCAACAACTGCCACCTGGATTCGTCACCCCGAGCCGGGATTCCGTACCAAACGTCGACAAACTCTCTCGCGAGCAACGCATGCATGTGTTGATTGGAAACTCCAATATTGAGATTACACGGACGCGCCTCGCTGCCATCAACGCTGCTCTGCTACGAGTCAGTAGCAATCTTCCGCAGCTACCAGACTACGAATGTGAATCTTCCTCGTTTGCAGAACCACAGTCACCAGCAGGCGATGAAACGAATTGTCGGATCAGTTACATGGACGTTGATCCTGGAGATTACCTCCATGTAGCTCAGCCGGCCATTCCGGAAATACCGCTGGTTTCGCATCAGCCTGCCATGCATGTGCCGCACGCACACTCTGCCGTGTTGGATAATACGCCACAATCTTACGTTCAAAGCAACGACTTTGCCGATCCGGCCAAAACTTCGGCCAATCCCATTGGATCCTTTTACCCCAGTTACTTCGACGCAGCCCCCCAGTTCGAGGACTCGCAATACTACGATCGTCAAGTCTTTGACCGTCCGTCGTCGTTTGGCCAGATGATTTCGAAACCACTGTCGAAGATTGGAAACCGATTGGGCAACTCTAGAAGCAACTCTACCAACTCGAGACCGTCCTCTCATCTCAGCCACGAGATGGGCCCCGAGTTTGCGTTGCAGAACCCCGTTGCTGCAATGGGTATGCGGCATCCCCATCAACATCCCCATCAACACATGCAGCAGCAACATCAACATCAGCAAAACCAACACCAACATCAACACCACCACCAACAACAACAACACATACTCTCCCAAACCCCCCAGTCCTACCGCCATTCCACACAAATGCAAGACACTCTCCACCTATACACATCACAAGGCTAAAAACAAGCACATCATCTCGCCACGACCCCCTTTGCGACGCCCTCTACGTTTTTCTCCGTCACGTTCATAGCTCTCTGCATCGCCATCATTTTCATCATCATCTCATCACTCTTTGATTTTCCAGCCACAGCATATAGATCCCCATCTCCCTTGTCTCCTTTTCTCTCGTCTTTGTTTTGTTTTTTTCGTTCCGGCTAGGTTGCGTTTTCGATACCCCGTGCCTTTGTGCACACTACACACGTACGCATCATGCATACATGCACACGCACGCATAGAGATGTAAGATAACGCGGTCGACGTCATGTTTAATCTGCTGGGATTTTTTTTGGGAGGTGGAAGGGGCAGGAGGGCATCGTCGTGCCGCTTCCAGTGAGCGAGTAGGCTTTGCCCTGTAGTTGGTTAGGGGGCGGGACGAGGAGGATTCTCACTATGTGGGAGGGAAATGTAATGACAATTTGGTTTGTTTCCTGAAGTTTTGATGTTTGAGAGTATGGTGAGGTGTGAGGTATTTCTGATTCAGTGTTTTGTGTGATGTTTGTGGGTGATGGGCTTACACTGGTCGAGAGTCGACGGGGAGAATTGCGATTATGAATGTGTGAAATGCCATGATGATGGCGATGACGAACAACTAGAACCCCATCCTTTCTTCCACGCCATACAATTCCTCGTACTCACAATCCACAGCGCTGGATGATAAATCCATCAAAAGCGAAAAACCTAGATGAATCATCAGCCATATCCACCGCACACCGCACACCCACTAAATCCCAGAAGTAGAAAACATCCATGAACTGATGAAAAAATGTCATAACGTCGTATACTCATGACTTCTACTCTCCCCTCTCCAAACCCAAATCTCTCTGAACGCTTCACCTCCCCCACCTACCCAACAACACTAAACCGATCCTGCACCTTCAAATCACGACTACTCAACCCAACCCACACTGTAAACTCTCCCTCGGGGATAACCCACTCCTGACGCACAACATCCCAATAGCTCAGATCCCTGCGCAGCAGCTCAAACGCAACGCTCTGCGTCTCGCCAGGCTCAAGATACACCTTTTCGAAGCCGCGCAACTGGCGCACGGGGGTACCCTCTGGCGCCGAAGCCGGCAAGCCGACGTACAGCTGCGGAACGACGTGGCCGGCCACCGGACCCGTGTTTTCCACGGATACCGAGACGTTGTAGAGGGGTTCCCAGAGGGCCGGGTTGCCGCCTGGTTCGATGGGGCGGGATTCAGGTAGGGAAGGAATGTTTGATTCGAGTGGGGAGGATTGGATATCAGCAATAGAGAAGGTGGTGTAGGAGAGACCGAAGCCGAATTCGTAGCGGACGGAGAGGTTTTGCATGTCAAAGTAGCGGTAGTCGATTTCGAGTTTCTCGTCAAAGTTGCTTTGCCAGTCGTCGAAGCCGGTGGTGTTGATGGCTGTGGTGGGCGGGGCGTTGTAGTCGGAGCTGTTGAGGGCGATGGTGTAGGGGAGGTGGCCCGAGGGATTGACGTGGCCGTAGAGAATGTCAGTTAGTGAGTTTCCGCTCTCTTGGCCGGGGAAGTGGGCGGCGAGGATGGCGGTGACGTTGGGGTGGTCGGCCCAGGACATGGTTTGGATGCCGGCGGCGTGGGTGATGACAACGGTGTTGTTGCAGTACGAGGCTACGGATTCGACGACACCGTCGCCGTCCCAGTCGGCGTTGAGATGGGCGCGGTCAGCGGCCTCTTCGGCCCATACCTTGAGCATCACGAGGCAGACGTCTGGCTGGCGGCGGGGGATGAGGAGGTTGCTGATGTTGGAGCCCGCGATGAGCGTGTTGTTCAGCCAGAACTGAACTATGCCGCCGTCTTCGTGGACGCGGTCTTGAATGGCACGAAGAGGACTGACGAGATAGGAGAGCTGCCCGGTTCCTGAGCCACCGCCTGCAACAATGGTGCCATATTCGTAGTCACCTTGGTTGATAACACTGCTTTGAGTTGGCTCGCTGGCATCGTTTCCGAAGACGGCGACGTTCTTGGGCTTCTTCAGGGGCAAAGCATTGTTTACATTCTTCAGGAGAACACTGCCAGCGGCACCGTGTCTGCGGATGAGCTCGGCATGGTTCCCACGGACGTCGCGGCTGACTTCTCCCGTCAGGTTGAACTCGCGAGTCCATGTGTTGCGGGGGGAGAAGGGGTTCAAATCAGCGGTGCTTGGATCCACGCTGGGGAAATTCTGGTCCTGGCCGAGCTGGAAGTAAGGCGTCATGATGCGGATGACCATGTCGTCGATGCGAGACATGTCGAGACTGCCATTGTTGGCTGCAAGGGTAACGTTTCCACCAAAGAACGATGGAGTACCAAAGTTTAGACCATAGGGACCCAGTCCTCCAGGCATGTTCATGTCCAACCCGGCTTCAATGGCTGCTACACCAGTGTGAGTGGCGCCCCAATCCGACATGACGTAGCCCTGGAAGCCAAGTTCCGTCTTCAAGAGACCGTTCAGGGCCGCCGAGTTCTGGCAGCCGTAGGACCCGTTAATACGCTGGTAAGCGCACATGAAGCTTGCAGCCCTGGCCTTGACAGCGTTTGCAAAAGGCCACATGTAGAGCTCATGCATGGTGCGGTCATCGATGTTGGATGAGACAGCGTTGGAGGTCTTGATGGTAGTCACATTAGGGTCGTAGACGGGGTTGCGCTGCGTCTCCTGCTCGTTGCCGATCCAATGTTTCGCCGTGGCCTGGACACCTGCGTCCTGGTGACCAATGATGGTCTGGAACATGGCAACACCACTGAGGTAAGGATCCGAGCTGAATCCCTCCCAGTTACGGCCTGCGTAGCCAGAACGCCCAAGCGGGCCGGCGACTGGAGTGAGGGCAACGTGTGCGCCCTTTGCCCGGAATTCTTCACCCATTGCGTAACCTCGCTCGTACCTTTGATCATCAGCAAGATTGTCATGGATGATAATTTCAAGTGAGACTTACAAAAGCTGCTTGTCCCACGTAGCACCAGCGGATACACCAGCGGAGAAGACGCTGGCGTAGTCTGCGACACGGATTGCCAGTGGGCCGTCTTGCAGACAGAGTCCACTGAAGCCAAGACGGGGGATCGCAACAATGTTACCAATACAGGGACCAGCTTGTCCAGTGACCATATCCGCCTTCTCTTCGATGGTGAGCTGCGCAGTCCATGCTTTAGCCTTCTCTAGAGCTGCTTCCCAGCCTCCACTACCGGTAGCATGTGCTGTGATCTGTTAGAACACGTTGGCTTCGATGAATATCTGCAGACATACGTGAAGGGTAAACCGGCGGCGACGACCCATATTCAGTCAAGATTGTGGTGTTCAACGGCTGAATATAGGAAAAGGCGTCGTCGGCACGAGCAGCTGCATCATAAGCCTGAGCCTCGACAGTCCTCAGCAGACTCGAGCTCGAAAGCAGGATCGAGAGGATGGCAGCCGCCATGATTCAAGTTGGACTTTGCAAACGCGAACCACGAGAAGCCTTGCGAGATGATTTCATGGTTCTCTTGCAGTCTCTTATATACTTCTGCTAATCACTCCCCGCCTTGCAAGTTCAACTACCTTACCGATGTGAGGTCAGTATCCAGAGGATCTCTAGCGCCATGTGGACTAGGATTCTCTATACACTCCGAAGTTTTGCCATGGTTGTTGCGGAGTAGTGCCCCATGGGAGCGGAGCAATAGGACTTGCGACGTCATCATAAGGAGCGGAGAAGCAATGCCAAGACAAACGTTCAGATCTTGCATACCATTCGCACCCAATTGTCGTGGAGTGCTTGCGTGTACTTCTCCCCCGAGCCTTTCCGACTCATGGACTTTCACGGCGCTGATGGGGAAGTCCATGGTTGAGAGAAATGTCATACCGGTACGGTCACAATTGCTGGGGAATTGGAAGTCATGCCATTGTCGTGAGAGTTCGAACACTTGACAACCACTGAATCAGCCATATCAAACGGGATCGTGATGGACGATATACCACCTTAGCATTCCTCGCTCCCCCAACCCCCAAGCCCTCCACGTCGTCTTCCCCTCCCAACAAATCCATCCGCCACGACTCATATCAGCGGGGAACCCGTCCTCGCCATGACAACGCTACCACAAGCGGCAAGCCAACACCATGGCTCCAAAGCAGTCACACACCGCGTCTCCGATCTCGACTCTTCAGAACCCAGACAAACGTTGTAATCCGTGCAGCCGTCACTTCCACCCGGCACGGTTGATCATCGGCGATTGCCACGAGCCTCGAAGCAACTCGTGGTCGGCAGAGATTTCTACCATCTGCCATGTCGATATAAGCTGGGCCATGGGGAATGATCTTGATGTAGTAAGTACTAGCCCAACAGCGGCTAGGCACGCGCTGTGGATCGGTGCGCCTTCTATTCCCCGGTCAAAGTTTTTTCTCCTTGCGGCCTTCTCTCCACACGAGATGGCAATCCCCACATTGTTTCCGGTGTCCGATGTTTTGCCGGACGATGCAGTGCAGATCAGCTGGGCAATTGTTTGTGACGATCTTGGTGGTTGGGGGAACATCGTGAGTGGGCACTGGCAACAAACCGAGTGGACGCAACAGCCGACGCTCGGCAGAGCTAGATGAGATGGAGTGCGTCAATGGAGTGGAATCGGATCTGGTGTCTTTCCAGGTGGAGAGGTTGAGGTATCGAAGGATTTGCGTGGAGTGTGGTGTGGTGTGGTGTGGTGAATTGCACTCTCTTCCCACTTCCATACTCCCCCTCCAAGCCCTAGAAAACCGATCCTCCGCCTCTCCATTCCAATCATCTCAAAGCCCCTATGTCCATGTTCATCTTACAAAGCTCAAACACTGTACTTCCTTCGACCAACATAGCACAATGGCATTTCATCGTGCACGAAACCAGAAACGACATGCCACTTCACCCTCAACTGACTGTATATTCCCCACCTCTATATGTTCTATATTCCTCTACGTAAAACCCAAGAAATAGACTCCCACTCCATTCCACCCTCCTCCCTCAGTTCCACCCCCAACCCACCCACTCAATGCACCTCCCCTTCCCTCCCCGCACCACCCAACAACCCCGGCGTCCCCGGCCGACTCCGCTCGCCGCCAAAAAACGCAATGTTCTCCCTGAGCGCCACATACTCGCTGTCTGCGTAGCCCAGCGCCTCGCTAATCTGCGTACTGTGCAAGCCCTTAATGCGCCGAATCTCCATGGCGCTGTAATTGACGACGGCGCGGCCGATTTCAAAGGGCGCGGGGTTGTAGATTTCGTAGGGTAGAGGGTGTGTTGGGGAATTGCGGGGTTGCGTGTGGGAGAGGCTGGTGTATGAGGGGGAGTGGGGGAGGGGGTGACGAAGGGGGATCGGGGCGTGCATGGCGTGGGCTGCTGCGCTGGGGGTGTTGGGGGCCTGTGTGAGTTGTTGTTGGAGTTGGTGTTGATGTTGTTGCTGGGGCGAGGCAGCGTGTTTTGAGCTGGTAGTTTGAGAGGATGAGGCGAGACGTTTGACCACGAAGATACGGACGGCTTCTTGTTGGGCAAAGTGGCCGTCTACATCTACGATGCCGGCGGGAAGGAGTCCGGCCTTGTCACTGAGAGCGGCCCATGCGCCATGGTCAATGTATATGGCGCCGTGGGGGGCAAGGCCGTGCAGAATCCAGAAGTAGCGATCGCGGATGGGGTTTGAGATGGGGAGGAAGCGAGTATGGAGTGGCACCGGCTCGATGGATTCTGGAGACGGTGTTCGTGCTGGACGGAGGTCTTGCAGTGATGATGTAGATGCGGAGAGGTCGTGATTGGAACTGCTCATGTTGGTGGTTTGCGGTAGTGGTACGCCATCGTCTTGAAAGTTGGAGACAGAGTTGCGGTTCGAAGACTTTGCGCTCCGGTGCTTCTCGGCATCTGCAATGATGGCCGAGATGTTGCCTGGCTTACTGCTCTTGGTGATGACGGTCGTGACACCTGCGCTTGTTGCCAATCGTGCGGCGACGATCTTGGTACTCATACCGCCGGTCCCCAGTGCACTTCCTGCTGAACTGACATCAGCCGCCAATTCGGCAATGTCCTCAACCACACTGATGCTCTTTGCGTCTGGATTCGTCCTGGGATTCTTGTCATACAGACAATCGACATCGGTCATGAGGAACAGATAGTCTGCCTGCACCATGCCCGCCGTAATCGCACTCAGTGTGTCATTGTCTCCAAACTTGATTTCCGAGACGGCCAGCGTGTCATTCTCGTTGACAATGGGAATGACGCCCATGCTCAACAACTCGATGAAGGTGTTTTGGGCATTCTGGTACTGCGTCCGGTCCGCAATGTCGTTTCTCGTCAACAGGACCTGTGCAATGGTCTGGCCGAGGTTGCCAAACAGCTGATCCCATAGCGATATCAACTTGCACTGCCCAATTGCAGCCAGCGCCTGCACTTTGGGAAGATGTTTCGGGCGACGGGGGAGATTCATGCACCGTAGACCAACGCCAATGGCACCGGATGAGACAATGACTACACGGTGGCCAGCAGCGGTCAAGCTGCACGCTGTTTCGACGATGAGGGAAAGGATGGAGAGGAGGGGTTGGTGCGTCTTCTCGTCGACAATGGAAGATGTTCCTGCCAAGCGCATGTTGGTTAGAGGCTCTCATCTGCCAGACATGGGGACTTTTAATACAAGAGCGCATTTACCGAGTTTGATGACGACGGTGAGCTGTCCAGGCTGTTTTCGCATGTGGACCGCCATGGCGTCTGTATTGAGAGATTATGGATTATGGCGATAGCAGGATATAAGTGATTGCGAAGAAGCGGAAGGGATATAGCGAGCTCAATTGGCTCGTCGAGGCTGTCGTGGACATGTGCACTCCCTCTTTATACGCTGGTGGACTGCATGAGTGGATGAAGCCCAAGAATCCGAGCTGTGAGCGCCCTATTCTTTACACGGCCGCTGTACGTTGTGGTAAGCGGCGGCGATGTCCTTGTTCCCCGATTGGCTCCCGCAATTCAACACCACGAACGGTGGGCGCAAAGGATCATCCCCAACTTTTTTCATGCGACGCAAAGGGCCAACAGGTACACAACACCATAACAGATCGTCGTAAACCCCGCACAATACCACGCCCTACGATACACCGCCAGCGATCATGGTCAACCCAGAAACCGCCCCCGACGGCGCCTCCCTCGCCGCAATGTCCACACCACCCCCCAAACCCATCGACCCCGTATACTACAACTGGAGCACTACCTTCTCCATCATGCTCGGCCGCATGACCGGCAACCGCAAAATCGACCTCGAAAAGGGCTATTTTTCAGAAATGGACGCTATAAAAGCGGACTCCATCTGCAAGCGCTGCGAATCCAACAAAGACTACCTCCTGCAATACTCGCCCATCGTCTCCTTTCTCAAAGACGAAGTCGCCAAATTGGGCGCCGACTTGAACAAGGACAACATCCTCTGTCGCATGTGCACCAACGAGCAATCCGGCGGCTTCAGCCTGAACCACGGGATCCTGCTGTGCGCCAATAAATTTCGCAATCGCGGGCACCAGGAGGATACCATGGCGCATGAAATGGTGCATGCGTGGGACCACTTGAAATTCAAAGTCGAGCCGGAGAATCTGCGGCATCAGGCGTGCTTGGAGATTCGCGCAAGTACGCTAAGTGGAGAGTGTCGGTTTACCAGAGAGTTTTTTACTCGGAATCAGTGGAGGGTCACCGAGCAGTTACAGAATTGCGTGAGGAGGCGGGCGACGTTGAGTTTGATGGCGAGGCCGGGGATCAAGGATGAGGCCCATGCGGGCAAGGTGGTGAATGAAGTTTGGGACAGCTGTTTCAAGGATACCAGGCCGTTTGATGAGATTTACCGGTAGACTGGTGACGAACAGATGAGCAGGTAGGAGTGTCTTACCTGTAAGAGATTCACGTATACCATGTATGTATATCTAGATACGACTGGCATGAGAGCATAGCGATGGCGTTTTGAGGTTATGAGTTATCTTCATGTATCAAGATCTTCGCTCACGCAAAAAGAACCCGGATTGGTTCCGGATTTAATAGTGGTCGCATTGCAGTCATGATAATACGCTTCAAAGTACAATGCAAGCAAACAAAGTCATCTGATTCAAAAAAGAAAAATCCAAACTCCAACTAATGCGAGTGTCCATGGGACAACTGCCCCCAACATTACACCTTTGCGCCATGCATATATGCGACTCGTCAAATAGATCAACACCAGTACTCCAGGCAATACAACTCACATCTAGTAGGTTTCATCCGACTCGGAGCTAGCGCGGAATTTGCCTCCACTGGCACGGTCGAAGGCTCGCTCGCTGCCTTTGCAGTGCTTTACAATCCACGGATGGCATTCCACATCTTCGAGAGCGATGCGCTTTTCTGGGTCCAATACAAGTAACTAAGTCATGTTAGCAGATAACTCACAGGCAATGTAAAGTTTTCGAGTTAACGTACCCTCTTGATCAGGTCCCTAGCCTCTGGGCTCACAAAGTTGGGCACTGTGTAGTCTCCTCTGGCAATTTTCCGTTGTGTCATGACCTGCGTGTCCTCAAAGGGCGCCTCGCCCACCAAGAACTCGTATGTCAAAACGCCCAAACTCCACAGGTCGACCTTTTCAGAGTAAAAGTTGTCCTTACCGCCACCCCTCAACATCTCTGGGGGCAGGTAGTCGAGAGTTCCACACATGGTGTTTCTTCGGTTGTTGGGTGCGTGGACAGACCATCCGAAATCCGAAATTTTGATCTCGCCGTGGATGCCCATGAGGATGTTCTCCGGCTTGATGTCGCGGTGCATGACGTGCTTCTTGTGGAGGTACTTGAGGGCTGCAGCCATCTGAGCGACGTATTGGGCTGCCTTCGGTTCCGCGAACCGTTGCTCGCGGCGGAGATGCTTGTACAATTCACCCTTGCCGGCGAATTCGAGAATGAGGAAGATGCGCTTTGCGTCGTGGAAGTGACCAAATAGTTTAAGGATGTTGGGGTGGGTCAGGTGCGATTGAATCTCAATCTCTCTTCGAACCTGCTTCTCGACCTTGCCTTGCTGAAGCTCCGACTTGTGCAGCACTTTAAGGGCACAGACAAAACCAGACGACTTCTCCTTGGCAAGGTACACACGACCAAACTTGCCCTTTCCAAGGGGCTTTCCTATCTCGAACATGCCGAGATGCCATTGCTTGGGTGCAGCAGGTGTAGTGTAGATGGCCGACTCAGTAAGTGTGCGACGGTGCGACGGGTTCTGTTCTGAGCTTCGACTGGCGGTAGCGGTGACGGCGACTTTGACGTTGGCGCCTTTGCTTGCATTCTGTGTGGCCAGCTTCTGTAATGGTATTTGATGGGGTAATTTCATGCGGTTGGCGGCTGATTGTGAGGAAGAGAGGCCTGCTACCGATACATTGGTTGCAAGCGACGGCTTTGGCAATGTTAATAGAGCTTTCGTTTACAAGCAGCAGCATCATACTCTCATACCTTTGTCTTGTGATATGTAGTCGTAGATGAGATCTGTTCATCATTCTCATCCGTCACAGTGATCCGCTCCATGGCGGCTTCAAGGTTGGCGACGTCCATGGTGATGATGGTGTGCGCAAAACGCAGACTTCAACGAAAGAGAAGTGGCAACTTAAGCTAGAAGAAAGCAGTCCTCTTGAACGAGTTCTGGCGCGATATTCTGCGTTTGACCGGGTTAAAGATGAATGTTGGAGGATAAGCAAGGCACGGGATGAAGGTTATCGACAAACAAGTCGTCTCCCATAGCAACAACAACAACACCATCGGCGCACGGAGCTCTAGTTTCAACCCCACTTCCCCCGCGCCACTGCCACTGCCACTGCTACGCTCGCAGCGCATTGTGCATTGTTCGTGAAAACACCAGGAAATTATTTCCGCTGTGTTCCCTTGTAAACGAGCGCATTGCTCGACGAGTTGTTGTCTCACAGCATGTCGACCCTCCATGGCCCCCCCGCGGTGGACACACAGGCTCCTGGCCATGCAGACACCTCGGTCACCAAGGAAGGCTTCAAAATCACTACGCGCAAATTACCTATTCTCAAATCTGCTCCCATAGAGGACATGACGAAGAGGCTGGGCATCACACCACCCGAGATGATCTTTGGCGACAACTTTGTACGGATCGAGCATGCGCAGAGCGGGTGGTATGTTGACTTCAACGCCTTCGATGCATTAGACCTGGTCGACAAAACTGGTGACAATATGTTCAAAGTCTCCTACTCGAAAGAATGGCAGCAAAATCGGTACACTGCCTGAAAACGCTTGTATTTCAGTCGTGGTTGTGCTAATCAAGTCAGTCAAAAGCAATTCGAGGATATCAAAGAAGTTGTCAAACCCTTCGACTGGTCCTATAGCACAGACTACAAAGGCACCACGCCAGCAACCCCGGCCTTCCAGCCCACAGACTCGCCGATACCCCTCGCCCTCCTGAAGCGACCTGATCCCATCCACTTCTTCGACGAAGTCATGCTCTACGAAGATGAGCTTGCAGACAATGGCATTGCGATGCTGTCCTGCAAGATACGTGTCATGCCGCAGCGACTGCTCCTCCTAGTTCGCTTCTTCATGAGACTTGATGATGTCGTCTTCAGAATACGTGACACAAGAATATTCGTGGAGTTTGGAACAGGTCAGGTTATCAGAGAGTACACGGCGAGGGAAGACGCATATGAAGAGGTCAGGAAAAGAATAGCTGGCCGGAAAGAAGATGTGCTTGCGACAATGCGAGATCCGAATCGCCTGCAAGAGTACATACCCGTGGTTGACAACAGCCTGGAAGGCGTTCAACTAAGGTGAAAAGTGCTGGCATGTTCGCAACGCGTGCCATACAAGTAAGAAGCCGCCTAGCATGAGCCTAGAAGAATACCACGATCAGGCAAAGGTACATGAAGGGTTGCCTCATATCCCATAAGATACCAGCATACCCTTTCTTATGTACTCGACGTACTCTGCCCACGCAGTCAGTCTGCGTACCCATGCAAAGGCTGCGAGTGACCTAACACTCCAAGATTCCATATCTCCACTATAAAACTCATGCAATACGGCCAGCTTTCAGGCCACTGGTAGTCGTAGCCTGAAGGAGACTCCGAGTGGAAATGAGGTCCCAAAGCTACCAGGATGCTGGCACCAGACTATATCTTGTCTTGCAGGGGCATCACACCACTGCAAGTTTGCTAGTGCGAATGCGCTGTAGAGTCCTTGGCTGTTGCCTGTCTACACCTACATGTACATAGCCTTCAGTACTGTACTATGCAAATGCTTCTTCGCTTGTACGGGGTGTGGTTTTGTTCGGAGCCCCATTTCTTGACAAGTGCTTTGCGTGAATTTTTCAGGGCAGAGTACCTTCTACGATCAGTTGTCAATCCTATGCGTGGATATGATGTGATTGCAGGATAGCATATACTATGATACAGACAATGTGTTGTCACCCTAGTTTGGTTGTCTATTAGTGGGTGCGAAGGACAAGGGTTATACGTTTTTGTGATATTCATTGCGTAGGACTATAGTAGAGTACTCTAGACAATCTAGGGAATTTTGTGAGTATGTATTGAGTTGTTGAATAATCATAGACTGATATATGATTAGGGGATGAATTGCATGTGAACGATTCACTAGCGTCCAGGCCTGACTATGCACTTGGACATCGCTGAAAGCGTCCGCTGCTACACTACTACCACGGCCTACCCCCGTCCCTCTGGCCACAAATCGCAACCAGGTTTCAGTTTGGTAAACCGATAACCCGAGCATCTACGTATCAACGGTTCGGGCACTCGAGCCGAGAACAAAATCCTTCACCGCATGTCGCCATACCTTGTGATATGCATGTCAGCGTCGGACTATGGAGATGACTACCTAGGCGCGGACGATAGAGGACAAATCTGCTAAATCCCCCTATCTGATTTTGTGCTTTTCTCACCATGCCAGAATGATTTCGTCCGTGTGGTAGTGGTACATATTTGCGTCGTCCATCCCGACCGTATTGACCGTATTCGCTGCGCCTCAAGACGGGATATCCCTGCGGCTCTAGATGCGTAGTAAGAAAGGGATGGCGGAACTCTTGGCCTGCCGACATGAGTCTCTGAGAGTGGCTGGAAGATACTACCCACTTTTGGCCCAACAAGACGCGTATGTACGCATTCGTGCAAGCTGAATCTGAGCGCGGCGCCCGCTTGATGATCTCCCATCTCGTCGATCCTGGCTGCATATACGCATTCTAAGTGGATGCTTGTGCAAGTCCAACCGATCGCCTCATCTCTCATTCCTTTATCGTACGCACCGAGGTTCCCTGAAATTGAACCGTCCGCAGGGCCAAATCACATAGATCTATCCGGGTTGACCTGACTATACCCAGCTTGATAAGGCTCCGGCTAGACCGCGGATTTGGACTCTATTTCTTGGATGTTCAGCAATCCTTCAGGTGCTGCGGCTTCATTACCATGATGTCATGGTTACTGTGTGCCCGAGCATCAGGATCCTTCCCTTGGCACCGAGTAGCTTGCACTCTACTAACGAAGGCCTCTGCAACAGCAATACGCCTAAGAAGAAATGGTTGGCTCCGCCGAATCTCAGGCAGCCTGCATCCCGTCAGCAATTTCCCCAATCAGAAAAAGGGCAACGTGGTTGTGATTGTCAGCATTTTGGTGCCAGAGCTAATGGCGCACAATCGCCGGATCCGAATGCCATGACCGCATTGTTCCAAGCAGTATTTTAGGTTTTGAAATACATCAAGTAAACATGTTGGCTGATAACAAACTGCAACCACCTCCCTCTTCTTTCCAGGCTGTTGTCGTTCAAGCCCTCAATGGCTGACTCCAAGTCGCACAGTGAGGGCGCAATGAGCGCCATTGCTGAGAGCCACCCCATAACATCAAACGAACAATTTTCTGGAGGCGCATCTGGGCGACAAACATCTCCCCATGGTGTCTACCGCACAGAATCCGGTCGCGAGACCTATCACCCTGACGGTCATGCTCATACCGTATTTGAAAAATCCTGCTTCTTGGGTGTCAGTACGTCTT